GGGAATTGTGGGAATTCCCGGAATTCCGGTTAAAAGGCGGAGCCGGTGATGGCGTTGAGTTGTTTCATGAGGCCTTCGAGAGAGGCCATTTGTTGGCTCAGGTCGTCCTGCTCGTAGACCTGGAAAAAAACGGGAAGAAAAGTCGGGAATGTCGGGAAAAAATGGGAAATTTAAATTAAAAATAAAATTAAATTAAATTAGAATTTTAAAGGGAAAAAATTGAATTTAAAATAAAAAATAAATTAAAATTTAAGTGAAAAAATTAAATTAAAAAATTAAATTAAATTAAAATGAAAATGAAAAATTAAATGAAAATTAAATTTAAAGGAAAAATAAATTAAATTTAAATCTAAAAAGTAAAATTAAATTAAATTAAAACTTCAATGAAAATTAAATTAAATTACATTAAAAGGAAAAATTAAATTAAATTAAAATTAAAATGAAAAATTAAATTAAAATTAAAAGATTAAATTAAATTAAAATTGAAAAATTAAATTAAAATTCAAATGAAAAAATTAATTTAAATTAAAATTAAAAGGAAAAATTAAATTAAACTAAATTAAAATTAAAATGAAAAATTAAAGGAAATTAAAATTAAAATTAAGAAAATTAAATTAAAATGAAAATGAAAAATTAAATTAAACTAAATTGAAAAAACTAAATTAAATTAAAATTAAAATGGAAAAATAAATTAAACTAAATTAAAATGGAAATTAAAAATTGAACTAAATTACAATTATAATGAAAAAATATATTAAATAAAAATTAAAATTAAAAATTGAAATAATTTAAATTCAAAAGGAAAAATTAAATTAATTTAAATTTAAAAGAAAAAAATTAAATTAAATTAAAATTAAAATGAAAAATAAATTAAATTAAATTGAAATTAAAAGATTAAATTAAATTAAAATTAAAATGGAAAAAAAATAATTAAACTAAAATTGAAAAATTTAATTAAAATGAAAATGAAAAATTAAATTAAAATTAAAATGAAAGAGAAAAAATTAAAATGAAAAATTAAATTAAATTAAAATTAAAATTAAAAATTAAATTAAACAAAATTAAAATGAAAATGAAAAATTAAATTAAAATTAAAATTAAAAAATTAAAGTAAATTAAAATTTAAATGGAAAAATAAATTAAATTAAAATTAAAAGGAGAAATTAAAGTAAATTAAAATTAAAATTAAGAAAATTAAATTAAAATGAAAAAGAAAAATTAAATTAAATTAAAATGAAAAAACTAAATTAAATTAAAATTAAAATGAAAAATTAAATTTAATTAAAATGAAAATGAAAAAATTAAATTAAACTAAATTAAAATTAAAATGAAAAATTAAAGGAAATTAAATTACAGTGAAAAATTGACTTTAAAATGAAAGAATGAAATTAAATTGCAATTAAAATGGAAAATTCAGGGGAAGGGGACAGGGCTCACCCCGGCGGGATCCTCGGCACCGGCACCGGCGTCGTCCTCCGGCGCCGTGGGCACGGCCACCGGCAGCAGGGGCGAGCGGGCTTTGCCGGGGAAGCCCAGGGAGGCCGTTTTACCCGGAGCCTTGGCAACGGTGGAGCCTGGAAAAAAAAAATTAGGGGAATTTTGGGAGTTTTCGGGGAATTTTTAAGGGATTTTTTAAAAATTTAATTCGATTTTATTTCGGGTTTTTAAATTTTTGAATTTTTAAATTTTTAAATTTTAAATTTTTAAATTTTTAAATTTTT